GAAACTTTTGGTGCAGAAGCACAGTAGGTGCATGCGGTAACATCCTCCCAGACAATGAAGTAATCATGCAAAACAATAACAGGACATCAAAGACTGCGTGTGTCATTAAACTCCATGTCGTGAGCGATCACAGGAAAGCTTCTGTAAGTGAAATAATGATGCTGTGCTGTGATTACCAGTTGATTACCCAATGTATGACAAACCACACCTAGTATCTGGTAACATGACAAACATGAAATCCACTGCATCTGTAATCTAACATGTAGTCACTGTAATCCAAAAAATAGAGAGAAGAATTTTAAATACCTTAACGCTCTCTTAAAGTCCAGTTTATATGATTATGAAATCATATAAATATCAACTTTATCTTACGGCAATTCATTCAAAAATCTCCCTTTGAAGGTGTTTGATCATTTGTAACCTAAATAAAACAACACAGCTGCACCCTCACTGCCCCAGTGCCCCCACCTGGCCACATGTGAACACACAACATATATGACAACATGTAAATGACAAAAATAATCCTGTGTGATGGGGATGGAGGTAATCACATGTCTGCATTAACGAGAGAAGCTGATGTAATAAAACAAAAAGGGGGTGTGGAGTAATGAGCGCAGAGAGAGAGAGGCAAAAATAAAACAACTAATTTATCGTGTAAAAACTTTAGATTACATCCCAGCACTTGTAAACCTAATAATACAGGATGGATTATGAGCCAGTTATGGTTTAAATGCCTCTCTCTCCCTCTCATTCTCCCTCCCTTCCACAAACCCTGCTCGTGTTTTCCTTCACTCTCGCTCCCTCTTTACCTGTTGGTTGGGGGCCCCAGGTTGGGGAGAGGGGGTCGCGGAGGAGGAGGCAATGCCTGTTGTTTCCTCATAATAATAAGGGTATTCATGGTCATCCTGCTCCTCATCAAAGTACTGAGACAGATGGAAGGAACACGAAAGCAAGAGGAAGAACGCATGAAGAGGAGTTTAGATTTCCACAGGGAGGTTGAGAGAGGTTTTAGAGGCCATGTAGGGATACATGAAGGTTAAGATGAAGAGTATGTGATGCAGCATTGGGGACGGGGGGAATAAACAACAGTAGGAGACAGGAAACAGGATGATGAGAAAACACAAATCTTTGACTTTTTTCCCACTCATCAGAATCTGTGTCAAAAAGTGTTCAAATAGAATCTGGATGAATGAGAAAACAGCAAAAATAAAGCAATAGTGGAAGCCAATGAATAAAATCACAGAGATTTCTATTCATCCAAAAAAGAAAAAGTCATCTCAACAGCATCAACATGACAGGGTTTGGGAGTGTCGGAGCTCTGAAGTGACCGATAATTTATTCTGATTTAACATCAGACAAACTTCTAAAACAAAGTCTGTGTACGTTGGATGGATGCAGACGATGCAGTCACTGCCAGCTCACAAATATCAGTTTGTTTTACAGTGAAATTAATGAACGTAAGCTTGCAAAGCCTAGAGTACTTAATGTAACGTGCACAACCAGTCTCAGTAAGTAAAGAGGCTCCACCTTAAGCCATCGTGATGCCAAATTCTTATACTTGAAAACCAATCAGAATTTAACACAATTTTATGTTCTAACAGGTCCTTTTCTTTAAACTCGTTATATATAAAAAATGTCAAAAGACACTGATGTTTGCTTGTATCATCCTCATTCCCCTACCTTTCTGTGTTCCACTGCTCTAAGGAGTCAACAGCATCAAATCATAAAAGTGTAAAAAATGTCAAATCACAGCTCTGGGATGGGACGATGACAACGCCTCTGCTTTACGTCACCGAATGGGAGACACAGACTGTGGCGGTGAGGAGGAAAGCGGATGGATACAAACTGTTGCTGATGACGAGGATGCGAGAGAAAGACAGAAAGGGGGAGCAGCACTTTGATGACATCATCAGATGACCCAAACTGAACCCGAGGACTTCATTTTCAGACGAACTTTCGTAGATTTAGTTTGACAGCTAGACTTTTTAGAATCTTAAAAACTTTTTCCAGAAGGTTTAAAATATATTGTTTACTTTTTTTCTGATCTCAAGATGTTTTCAATATGTTGTATTGTAACATAAATAAAAACAATAAATAGTTAATAATCCTAATGATGGAACTTTAACAATGGCATAGGCCATAGGTGTCAAACTCTGGCCCGTGGGCCAAATTTGGCCCGCAAAGCCATACCAAATTACTATTAGAGCTGGCCTACTGGTATTATACAGCTAATATATATATTGTTTAGTATTAAGCTTTGCTTGTTCCATATTCAGTTTTTCAGCAAAACGTGTTTGAGTCCATAAGAAAAGATTCATTCTTATATCTGGAGGAATAAATATATTTCAATAAATATTAACGTTAGCCCGCAACTTTGTTCCAGTTTTGAATTTTGGCCCACTGTGTATTTGAGTTTGACACCCCTGGCTTAGGCAGTGGAACTGATGGATATAACAGAGATATTTTTGCACTACTTTGCACTTAAGGCGGATGTTGCACAAGGATCAGCGATTTTCACTGACTGCTTAAAGTTTATTGTAAGCATTCAGCAGGCTGGTCAGTTTTAGCTCCTGTTCCTGCTTTTTATCTTTCAATAGCTACAAAATACATTTTTATTTAAATTATTGGGATTCACTGAAAAGTTTTCTTTCTACAGGAAGTGTCACAGAAATCCAAAACAAAGTCCGAGATTCTGTTTGGGCATCTTTTACCGGAGCTACAGACGAGCCCTCAGTTTTGTGAATGAGCTGTAACTGATGCTCCTCAGGACTTTATATTTACTTTGTGTTAACAAAGCACCACAAATGCGACTCTAACAAAGGTTACTGTGGGAAGATTTTTTGATATTAAATGACTAATGAATTGATGTCTGTTTCTGGACTTGTTCTGTTGTGGTGTTACTCACGTATGTGTTGGGGTCCTGAGCTTGGGTTTTGGGCAGAGGGGAGTCACAGTCAGGGCTGTAGTGTTCACAGAAGTCATAGGCAGCTTGAGGGTTGGAGGCAATCATCAGCTGCTGAATGTCTCCCTGTGGAGGAAAAAACAAACACATCATTAGAACTTGTTTCTGTGTTTCTGTGACCAAAACACGAACAAACGTGTGATTTTCCTGCTCAAACTTTGTTGCCACCCACTCAGTAACATCACAGTTTATCTTGATCGAGCTCCTCACCTGGAACACCTCCTCGTCCAGCAGGCGGGCTCCAAACACTGTGATGCCATTGGTGTCAACCACTGCCTTGTTGCCCCTGGGCAGAGGGCGGGTCATCTTCTTCTTGCAGTCCAGCAGCAGTGTCACGTTCTTCTTGGAAACAGAGAAAGCAATGCGATGCCACCTACAGACGAGGAGGAGGAACCACAAGCAATTCAATGAGCAACGTGAGAACAGCCCTAAATAAACAGCCATCAGCAACCCCACAAAAAATAATATAGAATTTCCACACAGCCAGCAAACACCGGTCCCATTCACACCTACACCACCACAATCATGTCATTTCAACTCGTCACAAACTGGTTGTTGTTGCTGGTTACTGACTTGCCATCAGCCAGGTTGACGCCTTTGAAGAGTGGGTAGTCCTCGGGAGCTGGCTTGCCGCTCTGGTCCTCGTACAGGAAAACAGGTGAACGTCCCAGTTCGATACCCAGCTGCTGGACGCCCTGCTCGCTGTAGATGGAGAGGAGGAAGGCCTGGAGGCCAGCCTGGGCTTTAACCAGAGCCATGACGGAGAAATTCTCCGGGAAACGACCTGAGGATGAGAGCGAGGGAAGTATTAACCATATTTGTAGTTGAGGAAAGATGATAAGAACGAAGCAGGTGTGCAGACGGGAAAGAAACATAGAGGCAGAAAGTGGTAGAAATGTGAAAATAACACTAATGAAGAGCTTTAATTTATTAAATACACATGTCAGCATGAAGTGGTTACATAATGTCACGCTATGATCCCATGTGGAGCTGGCATAGATGGCGTATCACATAATAACAGCTGGAGAAAGAAGGCTGAACATCAGCTTTGACTTTTGAGGATTTATTCACAGCCACATAAGTGCTACCGTCTCCTTTCTGCCCTCACTCCGGGGTGTCAGGCAGCTTCTAAAGTTAATTTGTTGTGGGTCTTCCACACACTTTAACTCTGCTCCTGCACTGAAAACACATAATTATACTTAATATCCACGAGCATCACGCAGAGGGCTCAGCTGCTGCACGCAGCTCAGTGCAAACAGATACCAACCAGTAAGGATAATTACAGGTTTCCTGTCTGGAATTCATGATAAATATTAAATGCAAAGCCGTTTTTACACTGTGAGGTGGGACAGGTTTAAATAATACTACCTTAAATGTTAAATTCATTTCCCCCAAACAATCTGAAATATCAAAATAAGATAAGATCTGCTATATGGCGGTAATACTGTGCAATATTGATACAGCTAGCAAAGATAATTATTACAACAGAAGCTGTTCTGACCTAACATTGGGTATAATATGCAAAACTTCACGACATGGATGAATTACTTTCTACACGATCAGATTTATGGCACATTTATGAACAAAAGAAAAATACTTTTTTCTGTCTGCATGCAGACTGGGTTTGTTTCTTTGCATGACATCTATGAGGACTTACAAAATACAAACAGTCTATTCACAACATTTAACTCTCTGCCTAAAACGTTTTTACACATATAATTATAATGTTCATACTTTAAAAAATTCCTTAAAGGCTTTCACAATAAAAGCTGTTGTTCTGCAGGACTGTGCAAAAATCTCCCTTCACTTCTTTAGATGTTGCCAAAGAGACATATTTGTACAGTTTCTAGTCTTGAGTAAAAGTTCTGCACGATTTCAGGAAGTTATGCTTTTTATCTCCTTTTCTGTCCTTGTATCTGAACATTTTCACAGGAATGTTTTTGTTTGTTAAACCACTTTAAATTGACCTGTGAATCATTCAAGCGTATAAAAGGCACCAAACTCGTAGGATAAACTAGAATTGTGTTTAAAAATAACTCAGGCACTTTGTTACCACCAAACTGTCATCTAAACTCAATTTGTTCCCATTTGAAATAGTTGAAAAACATAACAGAGTTTGACTTAAAATTTTTGTACCAACAAGAGCTGCTTTCTAAAAATATATCACTGCATGATGTGAACCTTGATGTGAAAAAATAGGAAAGTAACCGGTCAAAAGAAAACTATCTGCAGCAGTGAAGCATGCCTGGACAGAATAAACTCAGAACTCAACATTATCGAAGCAGCGTGGATGCACTTTAATGGAGAACAGCATCCAAAGGAGAGCGCTGAATGTCCTTCAAGAAGCCTGGAGAAGAATTCCTAAAGACTTCCTAAAGAGTTCAGACTGTGTTAAAGAATAATGATAGTCATATCAAATATTCAAGCTGTTTTTATGTCATATATTCATACATACTATGCATGTAGGTTTGCACATTTAATAAATTGTTGCACCAATTTTGCATTTTTTAAGAAAAATACAATGAACTGAGAGGTGGCTTCTCCAAAGTACTGTACTGTACCCAACTAGGGCTGACACAAACGATTATTTTGATAGTCGACTAGTCA